AAAAATGTTAATCCAGGGCTCAAAGATGGATAAAAGAAACATCTTAGATGTTAGAACAACTTAGATTTCTCATATCTAGTTCTCATCTCTTTTGATATTCACGTGTATGGGGTTCCTGATGTTGTCCAAAATATTTTGACCAAAGGGATTCAAGAATATAAGTGTTGACTACGTGGATGATAGTTGTCAAATCTAGAAAACTGGAATAGAATCAGAGTGGCAGGCTTGAATGTGTCACTAATGAAAATCTTTTGTAAGTGGTGAACTATTCGATTTAACATTTCTTCAACCCCTAAGAATTTCTTTATTCTGTCTTTTCCATAAGAGATAACACATTTTATTCCTAACTCTGCCACTAATTAAGTCTATGACCATGGATAAATCACTTATGCTCTCTGAGTTTTTATACTCTTATTTGCAAGTTGAACAAAGATGGCCTAAATAATCCCTAAACTCTCTTCCATCACTAACATTTGCGATTATCTTGAAGATTAAGGAAAGAGTAATTCATACATTTTACTCAATGAAGAAGTATTATTTAAATATACGTTGTAAAGTGAAGTTACAAGAGAGAGCAACTTGTACCTTGAGAGAATCAGAGATTTGAATATGCTCTGATTAAAGAGACCTCTTCAGCAAGAAATCATGCCCAGCAACAAGAACTCCAGAATGACAACAGAAACCATATTCCTCAGTCTCAGTTTTATTATGTGTATTCTTTTATATACTTCCTGACAAGAGCCATATTTTATAGCTGAACTTTCCATTTCTAAAAGTGGAGAACATGGAAAGAAATGCCGACAAGATGTTTTAGAGTAGCAAAGTGTACAGCTGCAATTGTTGAGACCCCAGTGGTAGAAAAACGTTACAATTCAGTTGTTTTCTTCATCCTTTAATTACCATATCCTGAGATCTCTAACATGCCATTTCACAACTGGCATGCTGTGTAGGGTGCTCACATAATTACTCTTCAAACATTTATGAGAGTGAAGGAAATGAGGGCTATTAATAACAACGAGGACAAACTGAGACCGTTTGGGGCAAATTGAGATGTACCCTATTGCGATTATAGGTTGGTCACCCTATTGGTTTGTGTTTTTATTGTTTTATAAAGACGTTCACTTTAAATATTGTTTCATTAGCCCTTATTTTAGATTCATCTCAATTACCATTTGTTCTGACTTATTCTTTAAATTGAGTTTAATCAGTTTCATCAATTATCTATGTGACTTCAAGGTATTTTTAAAATAATTTATTTGAATCTTAGTTTTCTGATCTGAGGATTATTAGGGCATAGATAAAGAGCCTAGCATATAGTATCTTCTCAAAAAATAAGTGACTTCCCTTAATTAGATAGAGAACAGTGTTCTCTGTTTATCAAGCCCTCAGAGATAGCTGAGAAAACAGATCGGAGCGCACTGTAACTTTTTCTGTTGTTGTTTTTTTCAAATGTTACAATATGTTCTACAATTCCTTCTTGTTTTAGTCATATACAATATCCGTATTGGTAATAGGGATATTTCCTCTATATTGTTCAAATTTTTTAGGGGCTATCTTGTATTAGTGTCCAGTATCTCACTGGATCTTTCTGGATGTGGTGGCAATTTTGAAGTTTGGAAAACTTTTAGGATTCAAAAGCATGTTTTCTATCATGCCTTTATGATGTCTTGAAAGCCAAAATCCTCATTTGTTTCATTTACATGAAACTGCCAGTTCTTCTTTTTGAAACTCTCTGATCATGTGACCTCTATAACATTGCAATATGCTCATTCTCCATATATTTTTCTAAATAGTCCTCCATTCCTTCCTCCTCCTCTTCCTCCTTCCCCTCTTCCTTCTTTTTCTTCTCGGACTTATCTCCCTCTGGTCAACCTTTAAAACTTGGTGTCTGACACAGTCCCTTTTGGCCCTTTACTCTTCCTACCTGCATACCCTCCCTGGGTAACTCATCCATGGTCATGTTTTCAACAAACACCTCTTGCTGAATTTAATAAATAAATTAATTTTAATATTTACTAACGCACAGTAACTAGGTGTTTGTCCATGTGTTTATCTTATTTAATTTAAACAATTTGTACATGTGTATATAATATCATCAATATAAAACACATCTAATCTATATTAAGTTAGTATTTATGCAACTCATATGAATCCATGCCTCGATTTCTGCAAGAATTTTAATCAAGGAAGTAGAGCCCGAATCTTCAAAAATAATAGAAAAGGAATATTTAGTCTCTTGAATAATATTGAAAAGCATACCCTAATTACTCTCCATATATTATCCTTAATTTCCTCTCTTTCTTAATTTTCTTACATCTCGAGTTATTCTAATCTATTAAAACTCTCTTGCAATACTCTCTGAGCCATTTCTCTTTATCCTCACTCTTTAATTCTCTTTTATTTAGATTATTACCTGGCAAGAGAGAATCCATTCTGTTTAATAAGGTGGGGAAAGGGAACAATGAACAACAGAACACTAGCTTATCTTTAGCAGATGGAGGTAGGGAGTGTTACGGACCATTGTACACTAACATAGGTATATGTGTGACTGAATATGATGTTACTCTCTTTGGATTAACGGTCAATTACTTTTTTATATTGTTATGTAAGAGACATCTTTATGTGCATGTACCCTTCCACTGCAGGTGATTGTATCCCCTCTTAAAACAAAACAAAACACTCGAACATGTAGTCCTTTCAGCCATAACTATAATGCAAGTGTGTTTAAAGCAACTCTCTTGGTTTATTGAAAGGAAAAATCTTGGACTCAGTACTTTCTTTCTTTGTGGTTAGTTCGTGGTTTGAGTTTATGTACTTTGTGCTTTTTACATCAGCAACAGCTGGATGCTGAAACTCTAAGGAAAACGTCTCTAAAAATAGTTTTGTTGCAAAAAGAAAATGGCATTTATGAACTTTGGCAAGAACTGTACTCTTGAGCCATTGTTCAGTTTTGAAACTTGAATGGAAAAATCCACTGCGTGGAGAAGCCAGCCACACAAGATCCTGAGCTGAGTCTATTGTTAGAAGAAGAAAATGGCACCGAGAAATGCACAGAGCCCTGGGAGCCTCTGAGCGCTTGTGTGCACTGTACCCGGCCGGGGGCCTGGACAAGGCCCACTTAGATGGGGACCTCACCACAGCATTATACATGCTCAAGAAGAGGCACTCTGCCACTTGGCATAGCATTTTTGTATAACCAGAGTCTGGCTTTGCATTAGGTTACTTATGCAGATTTTTTTTTTGCACAAATTTTCAAAAATAACTTTGTTTTATTCATTCACTCATTAAATCATAATAGCCCTATAATTTAGGAATCCTTTATAATTTGAGGTGGAAGGTCCTGCCTTTAGTCAGGTTATCAGGGCAGAGCCTGATCCTTCTAACCCCCTTACCTTTATATAGTCATTTTATATTACCTTTTTCTGTGTTCTCTCTAGTGTCATGGGGTAAGGGAGGGTCTCATTTTGCTTAGTCTTTCCAGTAAAGGATACTCGGCCAAATGCTTCCGAATCACAGTAGCTCGTTTAAAGCCTTCTGCCCCAGTAGCAATCACCAGTGTTAAAGGAATCTCTGGCCTCATTAGTACTTATTTCTCAATAATTCAGTATTATGCTAAATTGTCCCACCACAACTAGGCAAAATCTTCTATTTTCATATCCAGCTGCTTCTGTAGTATGTGAGGCTGTCGCAGCATGTCATGTCTCGGATGGTTATTCATGTCTGTCAGGCTAACAGAGATTCTGAATGCAGTAAAGAAAGGCGCTATAGTATTTGGGTGCTGCTCATGGGCTGACAAACCTCCCACAAAAGCCAGAGGCTGTCTCTGAAAATCTTGTCCAAAGTCTTCTTACAACAGCCATTTGACAGGGATACATGTCTTAATAAGCCTGTGTTATTTTACCGAGTAACTCTCTTAGTTTCTTATAGAAAATGTTGCTTTTGGAATGTTGGACAGGATGAATTCGAGAGTCTCCTGTCTCATGGCACCAGTTTGTAGCTCTTCTTGTTACTCAGTTTATTGCCAGCTGGTATAGCTTCTCAACCCATTCTCTCTCTGCCACATGGTTAATTATTTTTCCAAGAGATTTTTTTTCTTTCCGCATCACTTGGCCTGAGTTCAAACTACCCTAGGTCACCGTCATAGATTTCCCCATCAGGAAGAGAAGTCCAGGGAATCTGAGACCCTCCTTCCTGGAAGGCACCTAGATTTGTAAAAATCTCTCCTTTTCTATCTTTGAACTCCTCATAGCAAGAGGATGCTGATTCCATAAGTCAGACTGAAGGCCCTGCCTCATCATTTCTCCGGAATAAGTTAAACAAGGGGCCACTCGGGGGTTCAAGGTGACACACCTCTATAGACAACTAGCAGCTTCTTCTGCTTGAGGGGGTAAAATATGTGAAATCATTTAACTATAAGGCACATAGCTATACATAAAGGTTTTATTATGTTTCATGAAAAAATAAAAGGTTGAATAGATCCGAATATTCCTTTATACTGGGGACTAGTACCATGGTCTCCTGAGAAGTAGTAAAGACTCTCCTTCAGGAGGTCTAAAAATAAAAGAAAATCTTACCAGTCAGGGATAGTTTTAGGAGGGTACTGTTATGGGGCGGGCAAATGGAGGACATAGCAGTGTCCAAGTCCTTGCAGTCAAGTGTCTTGCTTGCTTTTTAAAACTGGCTATTAATTGCTTAAGCTTGAGTTCTGAATCAGAAGGCTTTGGGAAGTGAGCACTCGTGATTTAGATTCTGCTGCCTTATTTGGTCAACGGAAAATATCGGCATATAAATGAATCCTCCATAAGTTAGTGGGGAAATTTTAACTTCTGCACCACTGTAATTACTAATAATTTAACTGAGTAATTTATATGAGATCATAATTTATATGAGATTCTGATAACCACAAAAATCAATGACTAGCAAGGTACTCTCATGCTGTGCAAGAGTTTAGTCATGTTTAGGTTATTACACAAGGTTTATTGTTTGTTTTTATTCTGCAGCCTCCACCTCAGATATATGACAAACAGTTGGATGAAAGAGAACACACCATTGAAGAATGGAAAGGTGACACTACTCCTTAAAAGAAGTATACATTTTACTTTGTTAAAACTCAGAAAGTATTCTCAGGGCTTTCCTTTTAAAACAATTTAGTAACAAACAATTTCTAATTGCTACTCTCTTAGATCATTTCAAACCTCCTAAAACTTAGTCTTTTCATTCTATTAATAATATTGCATTTACTCAAGAATGAAAGGAATACTGGCACTTTCAAAAATAGTTCTGATTGTTAAAGTATTTGTTGTCGTGAAGGGAAAACTTCAATTTTTAAAAATTTCAGAATTAAACATTCCATGTTTGTATATAAAATTATCATATAAAATGGATAAAACTATGTCTGAGATGATTTTAGACATTAGAAAATAAAAGGTGGTTAATATATGAATTAATTCACTTGATATGTAGAACTTGAGAATTTAAATAGAAAATATATGTATCTAAGGGATTTATTTCTCCTTTAAAGTAAGAAAGAATGAATACATTAATTCATTTTTTTTAAGCACAACTTTCCATACACATACTGCATGATGAAGATTATACTCAGAGTGAAACAAAGCAGAAGCTATAAAGAATAGTTAAACTAATATAAATAACTCCAGAGTAGAATAATATGAGAAAACTAAATGCAGATAATAACATATGATTAGGTAAAAATGAGGAGGAACATAAAAGGAAGATCTAAAGAGACATAACATTTGAGCTGCCTTGAAGGAATTAATAATTGCAGATTGGAAAGGAAAAAAAACCAAACAAACAGGAAAATACTAAAATGGGAACATAGGAAGAAAACAAGGGGTAGAAATGAACATAAAGTGTTATAAAGATAGTAAAGAGATTCCACTGGTCAAGGAGTCATGTTGGAAAATATGGAAAATATGCTCATACAAACAATAGATCAAGTGAAAAACAAAAAGATGCTTAGTGACAGATGAAAAAGATTTGATTTAAATCAAGACTTGAAAGTTCTCTTAAGGGTTCATGTTGAATGGGTAAGTGGTAGGATACAAATATCACTTGAGAGACATGGACTAGATTATGAGAAACTGAAGAAAGAAATACCTGTAAACGATGATGACCGTATAAATTGTAAGCTATTTTAAAGCAAAAATTAATAGTGCCAAATGAATTTTAGCTAGAACAGGAAAAATAAAATGCAATGAAAACATATGAGTTTAACTCTATTAATGAAAAAGCCAAAAATGGATGCCAGTTTGGTAATAAAGGGAATGAGTTTTTAATATTGGGTTTTAGACAAGTTTAGTTTTATAAACTCAAGACTTGTGTCTGGAAAAATGATGACATAAGAGTTGGAAAACTGAAGGGAAATAATAATTTGAAGTTATGAGAATATATGCATTTATATTCATTCTCAGGGAGTAAATATAAAAAAATGGATTTTCAGATGCACCATTAAAATCTTTAAGAGATAAAAGTAGAATGCATCAGAAATCCCCAAAAGAATTCAGAAAACAAGTAAAATGTATATTCTTCATATGTTTATTTGGCCAACTGCTTTATTGAGTACCTACTTTTGCCAGGCTCTGTGCTATTGTAAGAAAATGCAGAATTAGAGTAATTAAGAAATCTCAATTGATTTTTAATTTTCTCAGTCCTATCAAAATGTTATTATTTGTTATTAACTAATGAATTTTCTCTGTGGATTAAGGGGAAATTTGTTTTTTATATAATACTGTTAACTCTTTCTTACAGAACTTATCTACAAGGAAGTAATGAATTCGGAAGAAAAGACTAAAAATGGTGTCGTAAAAGGACAACCTTCTCCTTCAGGTACTCACTCTCAGTGAATAACCAATAAACCAGTACTTGTGTATTTTTCTGGGCCTTGAGCAGGAATTGAGGCCAATAGCATTGCTTATAGAGCTATGAACAAATATCACATGACTGTTTCTCTCTAATGATTTTAATTTTACTTCTTTTGACATTGAGTGTGGCATTCATTCTGATTATTCAGATTATGATGACCTAGCACAAGATTTCTTTCAGAATTTATTTTAAGATGATAATGAATCTTGAAGAAATGTTAATATGGGCTGGTTAAAAAGTAACTGCTCCTCATCCACACTCAGAGGCATAATGCCCTCTGCACCAGTAAGTTGGTGTAAATAAGTGAGGCGTCCCTTCAGCCAAAAACCTCCTTTCCTCATTCACTGCGATGTGTGAGCTCTTTCCAAGGTTAGTGTGACAGTAGCTGAAGCATCGACCAAGATGGACTCCAATTAAAATCATCACAGAAAATCTTTCAGTTTGTCATCTACAGAACCTAACATGTGTTTGTACATATACATATTTTGTTATGTAATATGCTTTAGGATTACTTGAGATAATTTACTTATACTTGGTAATGTGATTTATATTTTTCCTGAGACCTACGTTCTGAATATAAAGAGAATATGAAAAGAGTTTTAGAGAATGTGATGGCTTATCTTCAGCTTTAAACTATACCCAGCTCATGCTGGCAAGAATTTAGACTGCCAATGATTAGTTTAAAGAAAAATGGCTTTGGTGTCCTGCCTTTGATAAACAGTTGTTTCTCCCCGCCCTGCCCCTTAAGCTTTAACTTGTTTCAGAAAGAAAGATGTAGGGTGAATTAATCAATTCTTCATGCAGATAGCACTTTGAATCACTAGTTTGTACCCATGACAATTATGATGCTCAGACAGAAGCTTTTCTGTTATGATGTGTTTTTCTCACCTCTAGACTTGGGAAAATGTCCAATTCTATTTCAAGTTTTTTGTTTGTTTGTTTGTTTTCTCAAAGAGGGTTAAGAGAGTCATTGGAGTTGTCTGCCTACCCTACTCATCCTTCTAGCATCCAGATTGATACAAGTCTGTAGAAGCTGCTTCTAACTTACCTGCATGTTCTGTCTGCTGCTAGTTAAAGAATCCAAAGACTGAATCCAATAGTCTCAAGATGCCACCTGCTAGGGCAGAAAGACTAAATTAAATCAAACTTGTACATGTACTATAAGACAACCAAACCTATCATTTCTACTAGACAGAAAAAACATGATTTTACTTTATCAGTTTTCTACAAGTTTTCAGTTTTATAAAACATCTGGACCCTAATCAATTGGGAATATTGAGTCAAATTTATCTTTTACAAAACAGATGACCCTTCGGTGGGATTGTTAGAAAATGCTCAAGCATAATATTAAAAGGTTGCATAGTCATTTTTTTTCTCTATTCCCAACTGTTGGATAATTGTTCTGAAAAGTATCTAAGGTTACCAACATAAACAATTTCTGCATGCTATGAATAGATGGACCAAGATCTTTATCAAGTAAATCCTTTCAAGTTTGCAAGGAAAACATTTAAGATGAATATTGTCAAAGACTAATTTACATAGCAGTTGGCTACTTTGGGAGGAACTGGACAATAAATGCATTCCACTAAACTATTTAATGATGAATATAACTGAAAGAAATTAAAATATTGGGCCAGATGTATGAGATGGCTGTCAGTTCAGATGGAATTTGTTTAAAATCAAACACATTTGTTCTACTTAGATTCACCCACCCCAGCATAAAATTTTCTCTCAACTTTCCTATGTCTATTAATGGCAGCTCTATTTTCTCAGTCTCCCATCCTGAAACCCCTGGTTGACCTTTTACTCCATATCTACGTTAGCACCGACAGTAACATTCTACAGCTTGTTTGCTAGATGTCTCACATCTGATTTCTACCATCTCTTTTCATTAATGCCACAATGATTAATGTTTTTCTGAGGTAATCTTCTTAAATTCAGTCTCTACCTAAATTGGTCTTTCTAAACTAGAGGTTTGACCAAGGATTCCACTGTTTAGTTCTCTCCAGTGGTTTTGCATCACTTACAATTTAAGCCTAATACTCTCTTGCTTACTTTAATGGCCCTCTGTAATATACTCTATGATTTTTTACACTGCAGCCATTCTCAGGTCCTATGTTACCACTGACTTATTTGACTAGCTCCCGAACTTTTGGACGCTGCCCATTCTCAAGTGTTCTCTTATCAGATACCACTTTGTCCCAAAATATTTTTCCTATCTCTCCCCAAAGACTTTTCATAACTTCTCAAAGAGTAGGGTCTTTCCTTCCTGTGGGTTCTTCTAGTCCCAGCATTTTACATATTGTCTTATTACTCTTAGTGATTATAAATTAATTGAGAAGAAAGACTGTATGCATTCATCTTTGTATACCATGAAGTGCCTAAGTGCTGTGCCTTGTATATAATAGTAACTCAATAAATATTTATTAATTTGAAAATTGCTTCGCAGGACCTCTTTCAACACGTTTCTTGATGCTATTCCAAAGACAGAGTTTAAGAGAGTGTCATACATTTAATACAGTATGCAATTCGGTATGTTCTTATGCCACTAAGATTTATTAATTTTATTAATCGCCATGAAGATAATTGAGCCAAATATCAAGTTTATGAAGTGTTGCTATTGGCATTTTCTCGTATTTCAGATAAAGGTTTGCTGCTTTCAGGTTGTTATTTGATTTATTAATTTTTTGCAATGTATATTTCTGAATTTTTTGTTGTTACAGGCCTATTTAATTTAGTGTTAATGATTAATTCTAAAGTATGTCAGTTAGGCTCTACCTACATGTGAGAAGGTCAAAACACTTTTTAACCATTCCAACTACCTATAACAGTCATAAATTATCTACCTTATACACATGCCCTAAACTATAGGTTACTGGCTTAACCCAATTTATAGTTAAAATAATTGTAAATTCAATCTTTCACTACATGCTTTTAAAGAGAAATAGTCATCACTTAATTTTGAGAAATCAGATGTATACTACATATTATATGATGTATTTACATATGATATTTTTGTATACATCATGCAGAGGCCTAGGAAAGCCATGTGCTGGGGCCGACTGTACCAGCTCATGAGAGCCACTTATGCTCATCTTTCCCAACTATGAGTTTATTGACCTCATTGGTAGCTTGAAATTTACCGTGCAGGATTTAAGACATGGGAACTGGCTGACTTTACAGATCAGATTCTCCCCCGCCCCTGTCCAGAGAGCCAATTGTTACATATTTAACAATTGTGTGTGTGTCTGCACAATATCTATATATGCAGTAAACTATGCTGAAAAGTAAAAACAATTACTAAAAAAAACTTATGAAAAGTCAGTTTTTGCATTCATTGTATTCATTTTTTCTCATTAATGTCTGAGTATCATATTTTATTTTGTAAATATCTAGGATGAAGTAATATTACAATATAGACTCCCTTAATATTCAGTCATGGCGACTCTGGGAACCTGCAGCTCAGTAGTAAGTTAATGCAGTTTCTCAGTGACAAAGTGCTTCTAAGGCCCAAAACCACGTTTTAGTGATGCCTTTAAAATGTAAATAGGGAGTTAAATGTACATTTTCAGAAAACACATAGGTTTGAAATTTATTGATGGAATTGTATATCGATAAAAAATAAATCTAAACTTCACATACTTTTCTAAGTAAATAATTGTACTTTCTTCTGCTCTCTGATTTCACTTGCATAGTGATTTATTTGCAAGAATAGCGTGACTGCTTGCTTTCTGAATTGATTTGTAAAGGCTGCTGAGGGAATAGCAGTTCATGAATAGAAATTAAATTTCTTCTAAAAGCATTTGTTATAGAATGTTAGGGCTAGAACAAATATAGGAGATAATCTAATCCAAAACCTCTGTCTGTTTACCACACCCATTCCACCTGAGTAGTAAACCTCTCATAAGTAACAATGACTCATCAAGATAAGGATGCTTAGCATCAGGATGGGTAGAGACATTTTAGAATCTCTAATTGAGGATAAAGCTCCCCAGGTGATTATAATCTACAGCCCCTACCCCAACCATGTTCCACACACCGTGGGAGTGTATCTTTCCCAATTAGAGTCACTGTTCTAGTCCAGCAATTTCATTTTTTTAATTTAAAAGCCTCAGCCCCAAACAAGTTGAGACCCAAGATCAGACAGAAAGAGAAGGGAATATATTTCAGTGATTTTTTTTTTTTTCATTTTGGAATTTCTTATAATTCTTGAGTCTACTTTTTGGTGTGTGTGGCTAGGTCAGGAAAATAATTTCCTTTAAAAAACTAGAATAACATTTTCCCCTGAAATTATGGGTACCGTTTGGTTACTTCCAGATGAGAAATTTTCATTAGCATAAATTACTTCTTTCTAAGATACCTATTATTTTTCCCCCTTAGGTAAAGTCGAAAGTAGCTAGCATTCCTTATTTGCCCTATTACTATTTTCAGTACTTTTAATGCCATCTTTTAGACAAAATTTGTAATGCTTTATTGATAGCAAAACATGTTTTTAAATGCATATCTCTCCTGGTTTCTCTGATAGAAGGAAGGGATATTTATCGCATAGCTAAGATATCCTGGGCAAGTAGACATTATAATCAAATTGAATTCAGTTCAGTTCTATTCAAGAGATTTTCACAAACCATTTGGCAGTAAATTAAAAAATTGAAGCCAGGTCCATGTCTTGACTCTTCTTTCTGTTTGATTTTATGGTGTACAAAGTTTTTTTATTGCCTACATGAAAACAATCTTGAAAGTATCATCCAATAAAACCAGAAGTGGCTTCAGTCAAGAAGGCATTTATTATAGTGCAATAGAAAAAGTCATACAGAAGCAAAGATTTTTCACGTAACAGTGGGGGACTGGTTAATGTTTAACAACTATCTCTTTAAAAAACCATAACTGAGTATAACATTTACCAGTTTCTGTTGTATAAATATTCTCACTGGGACCAATTTCAAGCTACTGACATCGATGAATGT